CACGGCCCCGCTATCACACCAGGGCTCTGGCTTTGTGCCCAGTGGGGCTGGCGCAACTCCAGGGCCTGTCTGGCCCCTGCCAGCACCCCTCCCCAGGGCAGGGCGGGGCAGTCCTGACCCCAGCCGGGGCTGTCAGGGAGCCTGTGGGTTGTCCCTACTGCTCAGCAGGGTCTGAGCCTCAGGTAGGAGGTGCCTAATCCCACTTGGATAGAGATGTCTAAACTCCTTGGACATCAGGACCCCCAGCCACCTGGGCCAGCAGCTCCAAAATCCCAATGGCTATGGGTGCCCAGTCCCCTTGGGATCGCTGTCCCTAAATCTCATCAGCCCAAGGTCTTCACTCTGCTCAGTGATAGCTCCCAAATCCATTGGCCTGATGATCCTAAATCACTGGGGCAGATGGTGCCTGAGCCTTTTAGCCATCAAGGATCCCAAAATGTGTAGTTCAGGGTACCGAAATCTTTGGCCTGGAGGCACCTAATCCCTTTGGGCTCTTATTCCTAAAACCCTTGGACCAAAGGCTCCCAGACCACCTAGGCTGAAGACCCTAAACCCCTTTCAAGAGCCTGATGCCTAATCCTCCCGGACATGAGGGGCCCAAACCATTCTATGATTCCCCAGTGAGCTATAGTGGAGGATGGAGATGTTTGGTCCAGCTGGGCTCTTTGTGTCTAAACTCAGTGGGCCTGTGGGTCACAAACCCCTTTGGCCAAAGGTGCTTAAATTTCTTGGGCTCAGGTACTTAATGTTCTTCACCTGGTAAGTCCTAAACCTCTCAGACCAAAGGATCCTTGGTCGCCTGTCCTGGGTTAAACTGAGACAGAGTTAACTTTCTTCATAATAGCTAGCAAGAGGCTGTGTTTTGGATTTGTGCTTAGAAAAAAGCTGATAAAAGGTGATGTTTATGCAGCTGCTGAGGTCTTTCAGCTTCTCTGGCTGCCTGCGAACAGAAGAAGCTGGGAGGGAGTACAGCCCCAGTTAGTAGCCCAGTATTTGATCTTAGGTTTGGGATTGAGACCCAAAGTGGCCAATAATCTATTGCATAACATACACATCATGCCCAGTATGTAGGTGAGGACCCTCCGGAAGATCGGCCCTTTTTGGTTCCGGATCTCTTTTGCTCCAGGTCATTTCGCTCCAGGTGGTCGCTCTCCCAAGGCCTTTCCCCTCCCACCCTGGTCAGCTCGCAGTCTGGGATGCTCAGACTGTTATCTCCATTCCGTGAGTGCGGTTTCAGGACTCTCCCTGCTTTGGGATCACTAGCCAGGAACAGGCTGAGCCTTGGTCATTGGGTGGGGGGGAGAGTATCACTGGGTATCCCTCATTTGTATATTTGTATATAGTATTATTTTCAATATTATTGAAGTTTCATTATTAAATTGTTCTTATCTCAACCCATGAGTTCTTTTTTTCCCTTTACCCCTTAATTCTCTCCCCTATCTTTGGGGGGGGGGCAAACCCATCACACACCTGAGCTGGATGCCCCCCAATCCTACAGACCCTTGGTTCATTACCCCCTGTGGTGAGCACCCATAAACCACCCACATGCCTGGATCTAAGTCACCTGTGCTGAGGACCCCAGATCCCTTGGGTGGGGTCACTTGATGCTCCTGGCCTTGTTGATCCTCAAGGTCCACGATGCCCCATTCCTCCAAAACCCCTGTGGTCCTAGTACACACCCCCTTACAGTTCCTAAACCACATGGATGGGGTTCTTCCCAATCCCTCAGACTCCAGGGAAGCCAAATCACCTGGTTTTGGGGTGCCTAAACCCTTGAGGACAGACCCACCCCTCCCAAAAAGACCTGAACGCCTCTCGGAGAAGGCGACCGGCTGCAGGACCCCAGCGCAGGGGCG